CACTACAGGCCAGCTCCGAGATCACGAAGGGACCCTGCCAGAAGTATCCTTCATGGACGATGCGACATCCCTGTGCGTACTCAGGGATAACACAAAAATCGAGAGCAGCATCTTTGATATATTGCCCATCATTGCGAGGAGACTCAAGATCTTCGGGCACGACCTACACCCCAAGAAGACCAAAGCTCTATTGCATATAGACGGGCACGCCAAACAGCATATCAAGGCGAAGATTTTCCAGACCAGCCCCATCACATTGCACCGCGAGGACTGCCAACTGCTGACCAGCATTGATGCCACCACAGCTGAAGTCACGACTCAGGGACTCACATTGGGCAATATTGTGGCAAGTGACGACGGTGAGGTGCCGAACCTTATGAGACGCATCATCGATCACAGATCTGCAGAGGGGCCTTTGAAGAAGTCCATCTTCCGACTGCCGCACATCGACCTCAAAGCCAAGATGCTGTACCTCACGGCCCTGGCGCAGAGCAAGCTGACCTACGACTGCGAAGTATGGGGGCCGCTGACAGTACAACAGAAGCAGATGCTGCAGAGCAGACACATGGCGAGTCTTCGAGCCGCCGCACGGCAACAGCGGCACGGTGCGGGGCACGTACACACCTTGGACGACGAAATCTACTTGATATGTGATGAAGTACCGATCCACATGTATCTGCGTCGACGACGCCTGATGTACCTGGTCAGAATGGTGCATGTGGACACGCCTTTTCTTCGCCGTCTCATCGACGAACTCTGGACAGTAAAGCCTGGAATGTACTTATCGTCGAGGACCTGGATTGGATAAGAAGAGTCGTACTAGACGACGAGGACATTGGCAGCGACATCAAGGGCCTTGTACGATGGTTACGAACACAGCAAGAGCACGCCGCACAAGCCATGATTACGCGTGCATGGTTCAGGTACAAGGCATGGCAGCACGACATATATCGACATCGGATATGGCAAAGGCAGTTGCACCGGCTTGCGCAAGACTTTGGACTGACCACGCCCAACTTCGATGGACGGCCACCTGCACAACACAGTGGCTACATATGCTATGAGTGTGGCAAGACCCTAAAAACTCGGGGAGCATGGAAGCGCCACCGCACCATGGAGCACATCGGCTACGACCTCCCCGAATTACTCGCCCGCTCGACAACCTGCCCTGGGCGCGGGAAGGACTTCATCACGCGATCGCGCATACTCAAGCACCTGAGAAGGTGCCCCAGGTGCCTGGCTGTACTCCAAGCAATTGAAGTTCCAATGGATTTGCAGGAGGCAGCCGAACGTCGAGATGAAGAACGAGAGGCGGTGGCGACGAGGAAGGCAATGGGTCATGGAGCTACTAAGGCGTTGGTGCCTGTTCAACAGGTCATACACATCAAGCTCGCCGACTACATCGAACAACATCAGCTCCAGCTCTCGCCTGCGCCGCCCGCAGCAGCGGCCCCTCAAGCAGTGGCGCCACCAGCAAGGACATTCGCACCGAGCAGGCCCATGGTTACTACTGCTATGTTCTTGCTGCACCTTTTTTCAGGTAGACGCCGAGTGGAGGATTTCCAGCACCACTTCGAGATTAACATTCGGGAATGCAATTTGGTAGTATTCTCAATCGACGTGCAGATAGACCCCGACAAAGGCGACCTGACGAAGCCAGACGTCGTCGAGTTTTGGTGCGCGGCGATGCGACAGGGCAAAATATTCGGCATCGTAGCTGGCCCCCCCTGCGAGACGTGGTGCTCATCGCGCTGGCACGCCGCCGAGGGAAAAGCTCCACGCCCACTACGTGCACGCGACTTCCCCTGGGGCATACAAGCAGCCAATCAAGCGGAGCTTCAACAGCTAGCGCTTGCCAACGAGAGCTGTACAGGACAGCGCTACTACTCATCACCACTGGCTTGCAGTACAATGTATCCGCTGTACTCGAGCATCCTGCTCCAGCTACCTGGTGTCCTCAAGCGCCGAGCAGCTGGCAGCGAGCGGAGACGCTTTGGCTGTTGGAGCAGACGAACGTCGAACTACACTACATCGACCAGTGCCAGTTTTGGCAGGCCGCGCGAGAGCCAACATGTCTGATGGCGGTGCACCTCAGCGAACTCACACAAGAGCTTGGGGCAGTACCTGGGGGGCAGCTGCGCCGACATAACGGACGCGACAGAGCTTGCGGACGAGACGGCCGGGGCGGCTGGAGGACCGCCCCCCTCAAAGAATATCCTTCAAAGTTGTGCAAGGCAATGGCAGCGGCCTTCGCAGCCCATTGGGGGCAGCTCGCTGACGAAGAGGCACTGTGGGCCGAACCGGATGAATGCTATCACAGGTTTTATGCCCCCCTGGACTACTACATCGAGCCAGAGCAGTTGGGCCACGACTGTCACATGACATGGGGTAACCACCGGCGCTAGCAGCTGACACAGCAGCGCGCGGTATTACGACTGCCTGCACAAATATTTGGGGTAAATTGTTGTCTGTATTATTTCATATTTGCCCGTCCACGGGACGGACCATCAGATTGCAGATTGGTGCACAGATTGGCAGCTTTTCAGATTGGATCGCAGATTGTATTAAAGAATGGAGTACAGATTGGTAATATTACAGAGTGGCAGCAAGCGAGAGAGGGTCATTGTACCTACTGTATGAACCCAATACTGGCAGCGACCTGCGAGGATATTTGTCTATGCAGCATGGCTTTGTCATGGACTGCGATTGCGTGCCATTCTCGAGGGGGGGGGGGCCCGTAGCGCCCATGCGGGTGGGCACGATCCCTCAAAGGCGACGGAGCGTGCCCCCTCCCTCGAGTATGTTTACTGGTATGTTTATTGGCTTTTCTTTCAACTCTGGCATTTGTTTTCTATGAGTATCTACCGCCCTGGGTAAGGGCAGCATAGCGCCCAGGCCCCACGGTATATGTTTGGATATATCTGGACATCTCTTGGCAGGCGGGCAGCAAGACCGACGGGAGTACCCCGAGCCCGCGCAGCTACATTGCAAGCAGGTCAAGCAGTATCAGCGAGCAGCATGTGGGAACCGAGTATCCCAGGCCAGCGCAGCGTGGAGACAAGCACCACCATGGCGACCAGTATGATTGGGTCAAGCACATCATGTGGTGGTGCTACTGAGACAAGTATGACCACGGGCCCCATGCTGCACTATTTCGAACACCACAGGCATGGGCACGGTCACTGTGGATACGGCAGTACATTCGTGGCGACGAGCGTCCTCGGCGACAAGCACTACGGCGGCATGACTTAAGTCATGAGGAAGCCCCGAATGCGTGGGAAGACCTCAGGCATCGTCGCCAAATTTTGCTTGGGTTAGGACGCAAGTCCTGGGGAAGCCCCGAATGCGAGGGAACACCCCGGGCACAGGTCGCTACGTTTTGCTGTGGATATCCTGGCGGTGACGGGTCACATGCAACTCGGAGGACACCAGCTGGCTGGAAGCGGGCGATTCACACGACGCCGCCGCACTACTGACCGATGCCGACATCATCCCCAGCACGGCCCTGCACACCTTTTGTCAAGTCAACGCTGCCCTGGTGAGGCATGGATCAAACTTCGAGACGGGCTCGAAGGGCGGGGGGGAAGGACGAGTACTTCCCGCGCCCACCAGGGGGGATGGTGAGGGGCAGGGGGGGGGTAGGACGGCCACTACCCGCGCCCCCGCGGTCCGCCCTAGCTCGCCACCCCCACCATCCCCATGGAGAAGGAGGAGCTACCCGAGCGCCCGAGGGCGAAGCATAGGACAGCCGAGACATCCCACTCCGACAATAATAAGTACCAGGCCTGGGGTTCGCCCCCACCGAGGGCACTGTGACCCCTAGCCATAGCGGGACGAGGTGGGACAGCCAAGACCCCCACTTGAAGTCGGTGCATGGAGGCCATGGGCGCCCACGACCATCAACACAACACCAGCAACAAGCCGACTCCCCAACGACCCAACCAGCACGCTCGACAACCCACACTCAGCCAACAAACAAACGACCGCCACACTACAACCACTCCTCTACATCAGCGCCTACCTGTACATCAGCTCGGGTGCTACATGATTGAGGGCATTGGATATACTACGGTTGGTCGAGTACCATGATGACCAGCATGATTGGGCATGGCATACGCAGGAGTACCACCTCGACCAGCACGACTGGGACGAGGGACACACGTTCGAGCACTACAGAGCCAAGCAGTACGGCAGGCTCGAGAACATCAGAGTCTACCAGAAGAGAAGGGGCAGCCTGCCCCTCGGCGTGGGATACACAGCGCGAGGCGCCGAAGGGTGTATCCCCGTCGCCCTCGCGTGGCATGCGAGGGGCCGAGGCCAGCTGGCCTTAGTCGGCACGAGGAGGAGAGAGCAGCCGCCAGTGCTGGCCTGCTGGAGCCCACGAGTGGCTCGGCGAGCCTCCACAGCGCGCGGCGCCGAAGGGTGGAGGTCGCCACTGCGGGGGGCAGCCAGCCCCTCGAAGCCGCCCCCACGGCGGCTGGGCTCAGCGCGCCGCGCCGAAGGGAGCCCAGCCGCCACCGTGCGGCCGCCGGCCCACGAAGAGGCCGTCGGCCTGGCCGTGCGCCGTGCCGCGCTGCCTGACGCCCGCGGGCGTGGGCGCGCGCGGCGCCCGCCCATGGGCCCTGACGGGCCCCCTTTTTTCAGAAACCCGGCCCCCTCCTCCCTCTTCTGAGGTTTATATATGGTCCCTGGTCCTCCCTGCTCTCCTCGGGGTCGGGTTCCCGGGGCCGCTGTTCGAGTGCCCGCGCGGCCCTTGTGGGCCGCTGCGGCGCGCTCCGCGCCCGCGGGGCGCGCGACAAGACGCTGTGTAGCGAGAAACGTCAGAAACGTCAGGAGGAGGAGGAGGACGAGGAGGAGGAGGAGGACGAGGAGGAGGAGGCGGAGGAGGAGGAGGAGGACGAGGAGGAGGAGGAGGAGGAGGAGGAGGAGGAGGAGGAGGAGGAGGGCAGCAGGGGAGGAAAGGAAACCCTCCTGCGACTCGTGCGCGCGCGTCCCCGCAGACGGAGGAGGAGGTGCACCAGACCATGCGCGACCTGAGGGGCGCAGGGGTCGGGGGTGGGGGGCTACGGAAATGCCTGGATCGGCCATGAAGGGCCAAAAAGGGCAGCAGGAGGCGCACAAGTAAGAACCCCCCTCCCGTCTTCCCTCGCTCCCTCCATCTTCGCCGTTGTCGACGTGTGCGCCCTTCTCCTCCGAGTGTCCTGCCTGCGGCGGCCGGGTATCGCAACCACGCTTCCCACTATGCGTTTTTTTTTTGACGGGAGCTAACACGTGTGGGACCTCATGGGTTCTGGCGCCTCTCCCTCCGCTTACCTCTTCAAGGCAACAACCAAGACGCAAGCCTGTCAGCTGGCTCTCCACGGAAGGAAGTGTTTTCTCTCCTGATGTCTCTAAGGTCCTACATATCTGTTGTATGAGCCGGGTCAAATTCACATATCGGCGATACAGCAACCCTTAGATTTCTCATAATACTGGAGAGTCGCCAATCATACTATTTTTAGGGCTGTAGCGTTATGGGGCCATAGGGCTATAGGACCATAGGGCTATAGATCTATAGGGCTATAAGGCTATAGGGCTATAGGGCTACAGGCATGTAGAGCTGTAGGGCTATAGGGCTATAGGGCTATAAGACTATAGGGCAGTAGGGCTACAGGGCTACAGTGCTATAAGGCTGTAGGACTATAGGACTATAGGGCTCTAGGGCTATAGGGCTATAGGGCTATAGGGATACAGTGCTATAGGGATATAGGGCTGTGGGGCTGTAGGGTTACTGGGCTATAAGGCTATCGGTCTATAAGGTTATAGGGCTATGGTGCTATAGAGCTATAGGGCTATGGGGCTGTAGGGCTATAGGGCTACAGTGCTATAAGGCTGTAGGACTATAGGGCTATAGGGCTATAGGGCTATAGGGCTATAGGGATATAGTGCTATAGGGATATAGGGCTGTAGGGCTGTAGGGCTATAGGGCTATAGGGTTATAAGGCTATAGGGCTATAAGGGCTAGATAGCTATAGGGCTATAAGGCTATAGGGCTATAGGGCTATAGGGCTATAGGGCTATAGGGCTAGAGGGCCATAAGGCTATAAAGCTATAGGCTGTAGGGCTACCGGGCACCCGGGCACCCGGGCACCTGGGCACCCGGGCACCCAGGCGTGCCGCCGAAATCTGCGCCATACTTCGCCTAAGTATATGAATCCGCTAGGACCCCTACAGGGGCAAACTCTGATTGGGGAAGAGTACGATTTCTTGTCGTAGGTGCGTAGGTGTCTACTGTAGGACTGGCCAGGGCAGGCTATGCAGGGCAAGGACAGGCCAGGATGGGCGAGGGTGGATTTGGGCCTGTTTGATAGGATGGGCCAGGATGGGAGGGGGGCGGGGGAGATATTGGGCATTGAGGTCCTCTTCCTTCTCTCACCCTCCTCCTCCTCCTCCTCCTCCTCCTCCTCATTCTCCTCCTCCTCCTCCTCCTCCTCCTCCTCCTCCTCCTCCCCCTCCCCCTTCCCCTCCCCCTCCCCCTCCCCCTCTCCCTCCCCCCCCTCCCCTTCCCCCTCTGTGTCAGGCCTTTCCTCCTTGTTTCCCCCCTCCCCATCCACGTCCCTCCCCCGCCATCCTTTTGGGAGGAGGAGGGGCGCTAGGAGGAGGTGATGGAGGAGGAGGAGGAAAAGGAAGACGAGACGAGGAATTACATAGGAGGAAGCAGGGGAGGACACAGAGAGAGGAGGAAAACGCGAGGACGACTAATAGAGGAGGACGAAGAGCGGAGGAAGACGAGGCGATGAAGAAGAGGAGGAAGACGAACGGAGGAAGATGAGAGGATGAACGCGAGAGGAGGTATAAGAGAGAACCAACATGATGTGGAAACTGACGGTGATGAGGAGGCGGAGGATGGGGAGGATAAGGACGAGTTGTTGGAGGAGTAGGAGGAGTAGGAGGAGGAGGAGGAGGAGGAGGAGGAGGAGGAGGAGGAGGGGGAGGAGGCGGAGGAGTAGGAGGATTACCAAGCTCGCCATAGGCTTAACTGGTACCTACATCCGTATTCAAGGATGAGGTGGAGGAGGAGGAGGCGGAAGCGGGTGATCATGAGGAGGACGAGGAGGAAGAGGAGGAGGAAGAGGGAAGAGGATGGGAGACGACAGGAGCAGGAGCAGGATACAGGGGGCGGAGGTCCAGATCCTGACGTTCGGCCAGTACCTGCAGCCGACGAAGCGGCACATGAAGGCGCCCCCCCCGAACAGCTGCATGGGAAGCTCGGGGGTGAGCCTGTCCAGTGGTTTGCCTCCCAGCGCAGAAGTACACATGGAAATACTACGGAGGACGAGGTGGATGAGGATCGTCAACGGGGGAAGATAGGGGAGGGATAAGGGTGTGCAAAGCTGGGGAGGGATAGGGGCTGCGGAGAGGGAGAGAGAGAGAGAGAGAGAGAAAGACAGAGAAAGAGAGAGAGAGAGAGAAAGAGCAGCAGGATGATGAGCCTGCTGCTGCTGCTGATGATGAGTATGCTGATGCTGATGATGACGCTGATGCTGCTGCTGATGAAGATGTTGACGATGCTGATGATGTTGATGGTGATGGTGATGATAATGCTGCTGAGTTGCTGGTCATGATGATGATGCTAATGATGATGATGCTGCTGCTGCTGATGATGATGATGATGACGATGCTGATGCTGATGCTGATGCTGATGATGACGATGATGGTGATGATGTTGATTATCATGATGACGATGATGCTGCTTGTACTGATTATGCTGATGGTGATGGTGGTGGGAATGATGATGGATGCGCTGCCGATGCTGATGCTGCTGATGATGATGCTGATGCTGATGCTGACGATGCTGATGATGCTGATGATGGTGGTGGTGGTGGTGGTCATGGTGGTGGTGGTAGTGATGGTGATGGTGATGGTGGTGATGATGGTGATGATGATGGTGATGATGATGCCGATGCTGCTGCTGATGATGCTGGTGATGCTGATGCTGCTGCTGATCATGATGATGAGGTGGATGACAATGACGATGACGATGATCACGACGATGATGATGCTGATGGTGGTGATGATGCCGATAACGATGACTGTGACAGTGACGACGATGCTGATGATGCTGTTGATGATGGTGGCTATGATGTTGTACATGATGCTGATGATGCTGATGATGATGACGATGCTGGTGACGATGCTGCTGACGATGCTGATGATGTGAGTGATGATGGTGATGATGATGATGATGATGATACTGATGATGATGAGGATGCTGCTGATGATTACGATGTTGATGTTGTTGTTGATGACAATGGTGATGACGCCGTTACTGTCGATGCTGTACGCTGCTCCTGCTGTTGATGCGGTTGCTGCTGCTGCTGATGATGAAGATGATGATGTTGATGCTGGTGCTGATGCTAATGCTGCTGCTGACGATGGTGGTGGTGGTGATGATGATGCTGCTGCTGCTGCTGATGATGATGATGATGATGATGATGATGCTGATGATGATGATGATGATGATGATGATGATGATGATGATGATGATGATGATGGTTGTGGTGGTGGCGGTGGTGGCGGTGCGGGGAGGAGGAGGAGGGAGAGGAGGAGGAGGAGGAGGAGGAGGAAGAGGAGGAGGAGGAGGAGAGGAGAGGAGGGGGGGAGGGCGAGGAGGAGGAGGAGGAGGAGGGAGGAGGAGGAGGAGGAGGAGGAGGAGGGAGGGGGAGGGAGGAGGAGGAGGAGGAGGAAGGAGGAGGAGGGAGGAGGAGGAGGAGGAGGAGGAGGAGGAGGAGGAGGGAGCGCTTAGTAGAGGCCTTGAGCGCATAGAGGACACCTGCAGACAGGGTACACTCTAGGGCTCGGCACCCCCTGCTTTCCCACCTCCCTCGGCCCTTGGGAGCAGCTAGGCAGCAGATCAGGGCCAGCATTGGAGGGGTGGGGACAGCACGCTCCATGAAGGGAGCTTAGGGGTCGAGGCTTCTAAGGGGCACTGTTCCTTTTCCTCCCCTTCGTTAAGTAGTTTTGTATTGGGCGAGCTGCAGGCCCCAGCATCTTCTCCCCTGTGCTCGTGCCGTGCCCCGTGGCGTCTCATTCCTCTTTCCCCGGTGGCTCTCAGAGCGACTCAGGTAACAGAGTGAGCACAGCTCCCGTTTCTCTTTACCATTTCTCTCAGGACGATCTCGGATCGTGTATTGAGAGTGGTTCCCCTCCTCCCCCCTCCGAGCGCCTAGGGGTTCAGGAAGGCAGACAGGCGGGCCCCTCCCCTTCCTTCCTCACCCCTCGTGCCCTGAGCTCGGAGCGCGCCCCCGGGCGAGGCCGTGCCCGCTTGTGGCCTCCGAAGCACAGCAGCTGGGGTTCCAGACGGGCTATGGTTGGGGCGAGGTCAATGGCTGGAGGATCAGCAGTGCGGGGGGGCGAGGTCAATGGCTGGAGGATCAGCAGTGCGGGGGGCAGAGAGTCCAGCGGCGCGCGTGCGGCCACCCGCCAACGCGCCGACGAAGTTCGGCACTTGCGCGGCGAGCCTAACGCAGGCGCCCGAGGCTCGCGCCGCCAAGGCGCCGGGATCGACCCGTTTTCGATCTCGATCCTCTCAGTCCACCTTGTGCTAGCACGATGCGGACTCACGACCGATGAACCGATAAACCGAGGAGGAGGAGGAGGAGGAGGAGGAGGAGGAGGAGGAGGAGGAGGAGGAGGACGAGGGAGGGGGACGAGGACGCGGATGAGGACGAGGACGAGGAGGGCGAGGACTAGGATGAGGACGACGCGGACGAGGACTCATGGAACCATCTAGAGGTATTCTTGCGGCTGCTGCTGCTGCTGGTGGTCTTTGGGAGTTTTGGGGGCCCTCTTGGGACCATCTTGGTAACCCTGGAAGGCTTCCTGGGATCATCTTGGAGGCCACCGATTACAGGATGGGGGGGTCCCCAATTCAGCCCCCCCCTCAGGAGCCGGCAAACCGCTTCTTAGGGCTCTCTTGGGGCGCTCTTGGGCGCTCTTGGAGCGGTCTTGGGGCCGTTTGGAGCATCTTGGGAGCCATCTTGAGCCAGCTTGGGCTATCTGAGCCATCTTGGAGGTCACCTTGGGCTCTCTGAGGCGGCTCGGGGGCCTCTTGGGAGCCTCTCGGGCCGGGTGCCTCTTGGGGCCTTTTTGGGACCTTCTTGGGGCCCTCTTGGGGCTCTCTTGGGGCTCTCTTGGGAGCCCTGGAGCGCCTCTTGGGGTCTTGGGGCCATATTCGAGGCCATCGATCAAAGGAGGGAGGCGCCCGATCGAGGCCCCCCCCCATCGGGGCCACGATTCTCGTGAGGGGTGTCAAACATTGGCCCTCCCAGGGGCCGATCTTGGAGGCTCCGACCGATCGCGGCCTCTCCCGTCCAGGTCCAGGGGGGAGGGTCGGGGGGAGGGTAAACTCTTCCCCGAAGGGGAAGAAGGGTTTTTGGAAGAGGAAAGAGAGACATCGCTAGACCACCTGCGCCCAGAGGGCTGGTGGGATTAGGGGAGCAAAAGGTTCTGATAATGATACGTTCCAGGATTTCCAATAATCCCTCGACTTCCAAGATTTTCCCGCATGCTCAACGGGGGCTCCAGAAACGAGGGCTGCTAGGCATACTGGAAGTCCTGCTGGAGCCCCCTGGCGGCGCCTCTGGCGCGCTCCGCGCGCCATGGAGGGAGGTCCAGCGCCAATCGAAGAAACCCGTGTGGACCTCCACCAGTTTATGTTTATGCCGTTCTTTGTTCCTCTAGGAGTGGTGGCGGCGGCGGCGAGGCGGCCTCTCCGGAGGGCGGCCGCTCTGCGGAGCAGCCTCTTCGCACTGTCGGTGCGACGCGTCCGAAAGCCCCTGAGAGAGCTCGTCCCTTGAGGGCCCCGGCGTGTCCATCGAGACCTTCTGCTGAGCTTCGTTGCCGCTGCTGATGCGACGCGCCCTGCGCACAGGCGGCGTCGGGAGCCTTGAGACGGGGGTCCGTGCAAACAAGGGGTCGGCCAGAGCGCGGGCTCTTGCAGGATCCTGCAGGGCAAGGGGTGCATTGACCCGGGCTGGCGCGCAGGATCCTGCAGGATCTTGCGGCATCCTGCAAAGCCTGAGTGGCCCAGGTGAGGACAGCAAATCCCCAACGCAGATGGTCTTGGCATCGCTCGGACGTTTTTTTTTTTTTGTTGTTTTTTTGTTTTTTGTTTTGTTTGTTTGTTTGTGTGTTTTGTTTGACATATATATAATATACACATAAAATTCGGCGAGGACCATCGAGGAGCATCCTGGATTATCGATACAGGCGCACGCGAAGCCGAGAAACGCATGCGGAATGGGCGTCCGGGAGACGGCAAATCGTGGGGGGCTTCCCCGGCGCGGCGGTGGGGCACTCCGCGTCGTGGCGGCTGGGGGCGCCGCCCGGGCGCGTCGTGGCGGGCCTCGGCCGTTCGGCAGAGGCGGTGAGGCGGGTGCCCCCCGCGTGGAGTTTTCCCGCTCGTCCTCCGTCTCGTCCTCCGTCTCGTCCTCCCTCTCGTCCTCGGTCCCTCCCTCTCGCCCTCGGTCCTCCTCGTGCTCCCCCTTCCTCCCTCTCGTCCTCTGTCCCTCTCGTCCTCTGTCCGTCCCTCTCGTCTTCTGTCCCTCGGTCCTCTGTCCCTCCCTCTCGTTCTTTGTCCCTCCGCCCTCCTTCGAGCTTCCCTTTGCCTCATCCCTCCCGTCAGCCCGCGCGGAAGCGTCTGCGCGCGCGCTGCGAAGGGGGAGGAGGGCGGAGGAGGGAACAGAGAGTAGGAGGCAGGAGGCAGGAGGCAGGAGGCAGGAGGAGTGATGCTGCTGCTGCTGATGATGATGAGGAGGATGCTGCTGCTGCTGCTGCTGCTGCTGCTAATGATGATGATGAACATGATGATGCTGATGATGATGATGATGGTGGTGATGATGATCATGAACATGGTGGTGGTGCAGATGATGATGATGATGATGATGATGATGATGATGATGGATGATGATGATGATGCTGATGATGATGATGATGATGATGATATGACGATGACGATGATGCTGATGATGATGATGATGACGATTACGATGATGCTGATGATGCTGCTGATGATGACGATGCTCATAATGGTTATGGTGATGACGATGATGATGACGATGGTGATAATGTTGATGCTGATGCTGATGCTGCTGATGATGAAGCTGATGATGATGATGCTGATGATGATGATGATGATGATGGTAATGACTATGTTGCATATGAGGGTGATGATGCGATGATGCGGATGAATACGAGGAGGATAAGGATGTGGATGACCAGGCGGACGATGCCGATGATGATGTTGATGATGTGATCAGGCTGATGAGGAGGAGGATAAGGATGACGAAGACGACGGTGATGATGATGATGATGATGCTGATGATGATGATGCCGACGACGACAACTATGATGATGCTGCGCTGCTGCTAATGATGACGATGACGACGTTGAGGATGAGGATGATGATCACGATGATGGTGATGCTTATGATGATGATGGTGATGATGATGATAGTGATGCTGATGATGATGCTGATGATGAGGATGATGGTGGTGTCGGTGATGATGATGACTATGAAGAAGAAGATGAGGATGCAATACTGATGAGGATGACGGCGATGGTAATGCTGCGGTCGATGAAGATGATGACGACGATGATGATGAGGCAGATGATGCTGATGACGATGATGACACTGTTGATTGTCACGATGGCGATGATGATGACGATGATGATAATGATGATGGTGATGATGATTACGATGATGATGTTGGTGATGATGATGATGCTGCTGCTGGTGATAATTTTTGCTGTTGGTGGTGGTTTTGGTGTGTGTGTGTGTTTCTGATGGTAATGATGGTGCTGTTAATGATGATGAATGTGATGATGATGGCGATGACGATGGCGTTGATGATGATGATGATGACGACGACGACGATGATGATGATGATGATGATGATGATGATGATGATGATGATGATGATGATGCTGATGATTCTGACCACGGTGACGGTGGCGTTGGTGGTAATGATGAGGATGAAAATGCCGCGGCGGCAGATGATACTTGTGATGACGACCATGCTGATGATGCTGGTCCTGATGCTGATGGGGTGATGGTGATGAGGATGATGGTGTTGGTGATAATGGTGATGCTGGTGGTGATGACGGTGATGGTAAGGATGTTACTTCTGCTGCAGATGCCGACGACGACGATGATTATGCTGATGATGATGACGATGATGATGCTGATGATGATGGTTGTGATGGTGATGGTGATGGTGATGGTAATGCTGATGATGATGATAATGATGATGATGATGATGATGATGATGATGATGATGATGATGATGATGACGATGACGATGATGATGATTATGATAATGATGCTGCTGCTGATGATGATGATGATCATGATGATGCTGATGCTTCTGATAATGATGATGACGATGCTGCTGATGTTGATGATGGTGATGATGCTGCTGCTGCTGCTGATGATGATGGTGATGATGATGCTGCTGCTGATGATGATGATGCTGATGATGATGATGCTGATGATGATGATGACGATGATGATGATGATGATGATGATGATGATGATGATGATGATGATGATGATGATGATGATGATCCCCGCGTCTGAATGGGGTCAGGAGCTCCTAGCTCCAACTACCCCTCGGACCGAGGCGTTTCCCTTTGGCCCTGCGGAGGCAATTCTCGGTCTCGTGCGCCACGGCGCACACACGCAGATCGCCCAAGTGCCGAGAGCAATCAACCGCCTCAGCCGAGGCAAGCGGATGACCGATCCAAGCAATCGAAGCGACTCAGCACGCTCGGCAGCTGGCAGAGGCCACGCTGCGCGGTCTTAGCAAGCTGGTACACAGCTGAGCTGTACGCCGCACGTGAGAAACAGCTAGGTCCTTAGGCAAACAGCCACGGCCGACCGACGTTGCTCCTCAGGCCTGCGGAGATCGGACCAGAGCGTGGGCGGACCTACGCTCTCGGATCGCCCTCCCCGTCAGGGGACGGGCAGGGCACTGTCGCGAAACGCGCCAGAGGCTACATTGACAGAAGGCGTGCAAGCACGCCGAGACGGAGGCAGGCGTTCGACTGCACCCCGCTTGAGCAGAGCAACCCGTCGAATTGGCACCAGGCCACACAGACGGACTGGTTGCAATGCCGAGGGTACGGAGCCCGATCCTGAGTGAGGGCGAACCTTCACTCCTGGGTCTGCCTCCAAAAAAACCTCTGATGACGCCAACAAAAACAGATAGGCGGGGGGACATGGCAACGGTCGAAGCGGCTTGGCAAACCCAGACCCTCTCCGTGCCGAGCCCCACCCGCCCCAAAGGAGAAAGGAGGAGGAGGAGAAGAATGAGGAGGAAGAGGCGACACGAGGCAGGAGGCAGGAGGAAGGGAGGCATGGGGAGGCAGAGGTGTCAGGAAGCGGGAGGAGGGCGTGGAGGAGCCACAGGTGACGCGCTACGTCACGCCCGGGGAGTTCGACGACCTCAAGCGGGTCGGAGAGGCGATGGGCTTCCACATGGCCCGCCCCCCTCCCTCGGTCGCGCGGCGCGCCGCGGGCCGGGCCGGCGCGCTGCTGCTGCTGGCGTCTCGGCTACACGCAGACGCGACTCCTCGCAGGAGGAGGGAGGAAGAAGAGGAGGAGGAGGAGGCGGAGGCGGAGGCGGAGGAGGAGGAGGAGGAGGAGGA